TCAGTAAGGCCACCCGACATAAACAGGAAACACTGAGTGAAAGGGCTCAAATTTCTCTCTTTTCCAGCCACATTTACTTTGCTTAATGTGTGTCGGTCGGCTATAATTCAGAAAGAGAGTGTTTTACAGTAAAGTGGTGTTTTCGAAGCGTCCGTCTCTTGTATGTGTGTTTATTCTGTTCTGCAGCTGGAATCTTTCCCATATACAAACTAGGCTCTCATCACTATTTGAATCTGCTGAATGACAGGAAGGTGATGTTAGCTATGTTAGTTTTATTTTAAAAATAATCTGTGTTGTGTATTGTATGATAATAAGGTCAGCGTCACACAAAGCATGAGCACTGATGGAGCTGCTCTTACTGCTCTGCACACGGTTGACTTGTGCACTTAAACAGAGTCACCCACCAGGTTTTGGAACGACCCTATAGAAAAATATCTCCATTTCGAACACAAAGTAGGACTCAAGGTTCTGTTCCTGTCTGTGTTGTGTTGCAAATCTGCGGCAGGAGGTCTGTGATCTTTTCTGTCTATGATCGACGAAAATGGGTATGATCTGTCCTGCAGAACTGGTTGCCGACATTTTTAATAATAATAATAATAATAATGATAATAAGTTCAATGTATATAGCGCATTTCTCAAACCCAAGGACGCTTTACAAAAAGATCAGAAAATAACAAAATACATAATCAACAATAAATAAAACAACACAGTACACACACACACACACACACACACACACACACACACACACCTCTACATTTCCAATAGCTAGCGATGGGGAGACTACAATGACCACAGTATAGAATCACTTATCTAGCACAAAAATAGTCTTTAGCCGTGGGAAAAGTCACTTGAGGACTATGGTGCGTCACACAGGCAGCCAGCCCAGGAAGCCTCGAAGGCCGAAAATGTCCTTCGCCATGAGGGGGGAGCATTTTATTGCAGCCGAACACCACCAGTTCAGGCAGCCTTATAGCTGCAGTGCAGTGACACCCAAGTGGCCGGCCCAGACAGCCAAGTAGCTGCGATGTAGCATCATTTAGGCAGCTGGCCTGAGAGGCCTTGTAGCCGCGGCGTAGCGCTGCTCATGCAGCCGAACACTGCCGGTCCAGGCAGCCCCACAGCTGCAGTGCAGCGTCATCCAAGCAGCCGGTCCTGCAGCCACGTATCTACGATGTCATGTTGATCACGTCCCCGGTTCGGCCAGCCTCGTAGCCATGATGCAGCATCACTTAAGCGGCCGGTCCAGGCCACATCATAGCTGTGATGTAGCGTCACCCAAAAAGCCAGTCCAAGGAGCCGCTGAGCCACCGGTGGAAAATCACTCTCGGCTGCTGTCTCGGTGGAATGATGGCAGATTCCTCAGCCAGCAGGGAAACATCAAAACATACTCACAAACAATACAAAACAAAACAAACGGGAAAGCGATGTAAAGCGGCAGCCATATTGCACCAGCGTACTTACAATGGAACAAACATGCGCACAGACACACATAAATGGGTCGTTTTCCCATTTTAACTGATTTTTTATGGCATTACTCCCACTATTGGGTTTACATTCAACCTGGGCTACGATTGAACTTACGGTCAGCTGGTGCAACTGGCTGCTGGTTACTAACTTTTTTAAGTTGAAACATTGAACCATTTTCTTACAGTGCAGTAACAAAAACAGCCTGTGTAATTCAGAGGAAGACAGAGAGGCTCGAAAATGGTCTTGCAAAGTGAACCTTTTTCTGTAGCCACTGAAAAATCGCCAGAATGGTCAGATATTTAGCAGAGCGTAAGATTTGAGCAGCGTGAAGTTTCATGTGAGCTTTATTGCCCTCTTTCCCTCACCAGGCCGCTCTTAATCTCTTTGTTTGTTTAAATCAGGTGCACCTACTCCACACAGAACTGGCTTCCTTTCATCCTCAGAGAGGAGGAGGAGAAGAAAGAATGAGAGAGAGAGAGAGAGAGAGAGAGAGAGAGAGAAGGAGAGTGGTCAAACACACCTTTTAAAAGGAAAGACGACTGAGTCAGCAGCATATTTCAGCTAATACTGAGCAGATAAGCGAGCAGGACAATGAGCAGTTTCACAGAGAGAGGCTGTAAGTGTCAAGATTGAAGAATGAGGCTTGGCTTCAGAAGGTTGTTTGGCTTTCATCTTAACTGCCGAGCGGTTGAGTAAAATCCGAGGTGGCGGAACGCTAAATGAGCTCTTTGTCGGCCGGCTGGTGGGAGAGCGTAGTAACCTCAGTGACTCATGCAGGTTTTGCAGTGAAACAAACAGAAGGAGGTGAATGATGTGTGTGATTATGAGTAATGCATAACAAATATAATGTAAATCCCCCTTTTTTTTCATCACTCATCAATTTAGCCTTCGTGAAAAGAACAAAGCGGCATTATTGGAGCACTTAAAGTGTAAAATTTTAACAACAACAGACGTGCAAGGTTCGTTTTTGATCCTCAAAGTAAGTCAGAATTGCTTCTAGTTCTTCATAAAGCAAGTGCACAGTGTTGGCTTTGCTTGTCTGAGTGTCCAGCTACACCATTCGTATATATCATCATATATAATGATTTTTCCTTACTCATTTGTTTCTCCTGCCAGGGTGGCAGGGTGTTGGTAGACGTTCTGCGTGCCTAATTCCACTTCTTGTGTGGGATTTATGCTTCTTGTGTGGGATCTGAGCTTCTTAGTCATCACTGTGTTGGGGTGTTGTCATCTCTCAAAGTTACTCTTTGTTGATGAAACCATCTGTTACAGCCAAGAATATCATAGCCATAACATTGTAGCTGACAGTTGATATCTATGTAAATAATTGCAGTTAGGACTGTCAGATGGGATCGGAAAAGAAATTTGAATTTTCCCCATGTTTGTTTGTCAAATTTGTTAATATATTCCATTTTTTTTTGCAAAGAAAATGAGTAAGAAGATAAATAACTGTAGTGAACGGCAGATTTCCAAGTGAGTGTTATGTCTTCTATTCTAAACCACCAAACCAGCTGTGTTTAAACCAGCAAGATAGTCATCAAAAAGGTACATAGATCTATTCTGATTTATCTCGAAGAGGCACTTTTCCATAAAATCCACACAACATTGGGTGATTTTTAGCTTACTGCTCTACAAAGGGTTCACATTGGGAGCGCTAGCTTGTCAGCTGAAGCAGATTTCTTACTTTGACAACGTATCTCTGCCTGTTGTCATTATTCAGAATGACTGAGCTGCTAAAAACCTATTGGATGTTTGCAGACGTAGCACCTGCATTCTCAGATTACACAGCCATTATAACACACACATAATGCCCCCCCCCCAAAAAAAAAAACAAAGATTTGGTAACTTTACACTGGTAACAATACGGTCCTTTTCTTCTTTGGCCTGGAGAGCATGATGTCCATTATTTACATAAACAATCTGAAAGGTTGATTATGTAAATAATTTCCACTGAGCATCAGTCTATTTCAGATGAGCTCAAGCCCAGAGAAGTCAGCGGTGTTTCTGGGCGTTGTTGATATGTGACTTCCTCTGTGCAGAGTTCAGCATTAACCTGCATTTGTGGACGCAGTGATGGATGGTGTTTATTGACAACGATTTTTTTTTAAGTATCCCTGAGCCCATGTGGTGATATTCATCAGGGAAACCTGCTGTTTTTTTCAATCAAGTGCTGTCAAAGGGGTCAGAGGTCACAGGCATTTATTGTGTTTTTTGGCCTTTTCCTTTATCCACACAGTTTTCTTTGTATTCTCTGAATCTTTTGATGATATTATGCACTGTAGAGGGTGAAATACCTAAAATCTTTGCTGTTCCTTGTAGAGGAACATATTTTTAAACTGTGGGATTTTTTGCTTATGCATTTTCTTGGTCATGTGGTCTCGACCCATCCTCCCTCATAAAGGACTCGGCCTTTCCTGGATGCTCTGTTTATAACCAAGCATTGTTGCATCATCTGTTTAAGATTTTTTTTAGATTTCAATGTGTTCCTAGTCTTACATTGCAGGTTGATCAGATAAAACTTTAAATATCTTGTCTTTATACTGTTTTTGTTCAAATACAGGTCAAAGTAGATTTACAAGTCACAGCTTTCTGTTTTTATTTGCATTTTACCGACTGTCACAATTTTTTTGGAACTGGATTTTTAATTTAGGCCAAAATAAATCATTAATGAATAAGTCATAAATGAATCTTTTATATGTGGTCACCAATGGCATGTCTTTCTCTTCTCTTGGTAGTCGTCATTTGTGGTGTTTTTTCAATGGATTTGATGAATTTTCAAATCTGTAGCTATTGGTTGAAGGAAAAACCTCTTTGTTATCAATTACTGAGTTAATGTTTGACTAACTACAGTCACAAGGCACATTATACTGTAACCCAGTCTGTAGATACTGCAGTGTAGGTACTTTAAATGTGCACTTAGGACAGTTTGTAAGTTATTTTAATATGTAGTGTAACTGTTTTTTACATTGTTAGTTCATGTCGCTGGTCATATTAAACATTACTCCTCATAATAAATCATTTTAAAGGCAAAATTATTGTTTTTCCTGTAATCTTTGATTAAGGTGTAATGACTTTTTGCCTTTAACGCGTTTTCTGATTTTTAATTAGAAAAAATGCGGCAAAGTATGAACCAGTAATACCATATTTCATTCATAAATATGATACGGTACTGAAAGAGAGTGAGTTATAATTCACATTCACATTGATATTTTAATGTATTTATAAGTAATTAAACATATTTTTAATCATTTTGCGTTAAAAGCAGTTATTCCTTTCAGTACAATCAATTACATGCTTCTGATCAACAAACAAAAGCTGTGCTCTTCTTGGCCACTAGATGGCAAAGTGGTAGGCAGAGGGCTGAGAGTTGGGACAGTCCATGTTGTGCTTACTGGCAGCAGGCTGTGATTTTCTGGAGAAGGAGAAGTAGGCTGCGTGTTTTGATTGACCAGTTAAGCGGTTTTCTCAGTTCCAGTGTTTACAGACACGTGCTTTGCTCGAGTAACTGTTGTCCTCTGTTCTCTCTCCAGCTGTTGGAGCTGTGCAGGTCAGTTAAAGACGATGCGCTGAAAGTGGTGGCGGATTTCAACATACCTCCCTGCTGTATCCAGGCGCCCATCGCTGGGGTGGCCAACCCCAGAGCAGAGTGGGGCTTCTACCCGCAGCCACAGAGCCCCACCACCCAGCCCCACACCCAGCAGAGGGCCACGTCCAAGCTTTGAGCCACCGGACAACCAGGGAGCTCACCAGCGTACTGCCAGCACTGAGACCCAGATATCGCTGTTGTCAGAACAAAACCTCGTATCTCCAAAACGGTAACTTTACAGGAGAAGGAAAGGAACTACTTTACTTTTAATGTAAGTCAATGGAACCAGACGGGCGGCACGGTGGCGCAGTGGGTAGCGCTGTCGCCTCACAGCAAGAAGGGCCTGGGTTCAATTCCCGGCCGGGTGACCAGGGTCATTTCTGTGTGGAGTTTGCCTGTTCTCCCCGTGTCTGCGTGGGTTTCCTCCGGGTACTCCGGTTTCCTCCCACAGTCCAAAAACATGCAGTCAGGCTGATTGGACATGCTAAATAGCCCCTGGGTGTGAGTGTGTGTGTGTGAATGTGTATGTCTGTCTGCCCTGCGATGGACTGGCGACCTGTCCAGGGTGTATCCTGCCTTCCGCCCAGTGACAGCTGGGATAGGCTCCAGCACCCCACCGTGACCCAGAAGGATAAGTGGTCTAGATGATGGATGGATGGAACCAGACATTTTTTCCAAGTCATTTTGGGTCATTTCTGTTGGTCCAATCATGAAATTACACAAAAAGTAAAGGACAGTTTCACATTATGTCAAAAACTGAAAAATGGCAAAAATGGAGATACAAGGTTTTGTTCAGACAGCAACGATATAGTGAAGGGGACATTAGACTCAGTTACAGCTCCGTCCAAGCCTCGACCAGTCTTATTTACTCTCACAGTGGTCAGCGTGAAGATTTATTTAACAGAAATGCATAGAACCACTTTATTTCGCCATTCAGTGAAGATTGTGTTGTGTGCCACAGAATGGTGGTCTGTTGAATAGATTAAGAGAACGTGGTGGGCTTAATTTGCCAATAATAGCATCATTTAAGACCATTCTTAGACTTACATTCTACATTATTAAGAGAGAATCCTGAATGAATCACTGTGGCGAGTTCCCAAAATCAGCGTGTAAATCGGTAGAACCAAAAGATGGTTCTTCAAGAGTTCCTCTGTAGAGGGAATGGTTCCATATAGAATCATGCTTAAAGGGTTTTTACTTGGTGAAATGGTTCTTTAGTTTAATTGGGGAATGCATATGGTTCCATATAAAATGTTTCTGTATAGCACCAAAAAATAGTTCTTCCACTGTTATGATGTCAAGCTTGTATACAGTAGAAGAACTATTTTCTGTATAGAACCATACAACACATTCTTCATCAGTCTATGTAGAACCATCTATAGCACATTCCGAAGAACCATTTCACCATGAAAGAACCTTTTAAGCGTGCAAACGGTTCTATATACACTCTTAAACAATGGTCCTTACACTCTTTAAACAAGGGTTCCTTAGTATATAACAGTGAACACTCAATGAACCTAAGCATGATTAAAGGGTTCTTTGCATCATGAAAGGGTTCTTCAGAATGTGCTATAGATGGTTCTATGTAGAACCTTTTTGAACCCTTTTTGGTGCTACATAGAACCCTTTTTCAGAAGATCCAAGAACCATATTCATCACATTCTTCATCAATCTGAAGAACCATTTCATGACAGAAAGAACCATTTAATCCATCAAAGGGTTCTTTGAGTGTTTATGGTTATTTACAGAACCATTTTCTTTACTAAAAAACCCTTAAAAAGGACCATCTTTTTTAAGAGTGTAGAACATTTTTGTAAATGGTTCTACATAGCACCAAAAAAGGGTTCTGCTGTTGTTACAATGTCAAGCTTGTAACAATAGAATAACTCTTTTTGGTGCTATATAGAACCATTTACAAAAATGTTCTATACAAAATCATATACAGCACATTCTCCATCAGTCTGGAGAGCCATTTCACCATGCGGAGAACCATTCAAGCATGCAGTGGTTCTATATAGAACTCATCGTTCTAAATAGAAACATTCCTTTTACTAAAGAACCTTTGAAGAACGATTTTTTAAAGAATGTAGATCGGTGCCAGTGCCAGTCCACCCAAAATGCAGTCGAAACTCAAAAACAAGCAGAAGAAAAGCATTAAAAGTGTAGCATTATTTATGGGTAAATGGTAAATAGGGATCTAATATAAGCATCTAATAATCATTTTCATTGCTAGTTTGACTTCAGAAACCAATAATTTGTGACTGCATGAAAGTTTACACTTTTCCTGCTTTATATATGTTTATATATTTATATATATAAATATATTACAAATATAAATATAGAGTACAAATATTAGTATTTTACCTGCTTTGTTATCTATTAAAAAGGACTTTTTAATTAGAACATTTTGAGAAGTTTAAGTATTTTTAAATGCATTAATCCATAACAACCCTGGAGGACATTGATGTTCAAGGCTTTCAGCATCACTTAACATAGGTTGTGATGCTTCTTAACACAAGGATCACTTCTCTTTGTCCACAGCCATGTTTTGAGGGTGTTTTTAAGGCCTGACCGCTATTTCGGTTGACCGATGTTATTGGCCGATATTAGCAGCTCGCGGTACTACTGGTATTGGTCTATAGCATTCTGAGTAGCTCCGCCCCCAGGTCTACAGTGTGTAAATCACTTAAGAGTGTGAGTTTGTGCTGTTTAGTTGAGTTTAAGTGTAATAATGAGAACTGACAGTCATATCAGTCAGTAAAGCACTGTTTAACTAACACTACTGGAGTATAAAAATCTAAAATATATATGAATCATTCTACCAAATGTGGAGTTCAAAACACATTTGAGACTTTTAACCGACTTGGACTTTGTTTGAGTGATGATATGCCTTAATTATGTTTATTTTATTAAAACAAGTGATTGAACATTCCATTTTATCACTACCAAAACAATCATAAAGCCGCTGAAACCTTTCAGTTGTGACTTGAAAATGTAGGACAGCATTTTTTGAATAAAGTTAAACATTAAACTTATGATCTGTCCAAACCTTTCATTTCCACTTTAAAAGAAAATAAAAATAATTAAAAATACAAAATACAATGTAAGTGTAAATTTAGGGGTTAGGGTTTGGGACAGACATCTCCCAATAGAAAGTAGCCCATAAAAGATGATTGTGTATGTATTTAGCTTATTACTATCTTTATTAATATCTTGGGTTTGAATAGATCAGAACAAAATCCTGTAAATATCTAAGATCTGAAAAATTAAAATTAAATGTTCATATCGGTTGGGCTCTGGCTTTTACTGGTGACTCCTGCTTCCACACCTGGATTATGTGCATCTGAGTAGGTCCTCACACCTGGAACTCCAGCTTTTATTGCTGAATTTGATGATGACACACTGGAGTATGGATATCTTCCCGCCTGACCTCCATGGGGCCCTAAGCAAAATTCTACAAAAGGGTCCTCCTACCTGACCCATGAGCGATTTGCAGTCGCCGCACAGTCACACCTGAGACCCCATTGCTCCCACTACAGTCCTCCCTTCTTTAAACCAGTCTGCTCCGTCTGTGGCTCTGAGAATAAATAGATCTGAACAGTACAGAATGAGCTACAAACAATATTTCTATATTAATCAATTAATTACTCCTCTATTGACACACTTAAGCACAGCACCTGAAACATCATAGATAATACTATTATTAATATGATCAGCTGCATCAGGCCCATTCACATTGGCTGCCCCAGATTTCCTTTATACATTTTTAAATATAAAATACTATTTAGCCATATTATTTATGGCTCGATTGATTACTTGGTTATCATTTATGAGAGATGTGCATCTATATTGCCCAGTATGCCCAGCTAATTAACACTTTAAACTCAATATTTAATCAATAGTCAGTGTCACTCCATTGCTTTCCATGCTACATTAGTCAGAGCTGTAACTAAACCCTGACTGAGAGTCCAGATCAGGGGTCAGCAACATGCTGCTCTGGAGCTGCATGTGGCTCTTTTACTGTCCTGTTGTGGCTCCACAGCAGAATCAGATTTGTAGGTAAAAATAAAATAATCCTCCTTTACAGTAAAATAAAGCTCTGCTGATCGTTCAACACAGTTTAACAGTAAATGGTCTTAAACTCTGGAGTTAATGTAGAACTGCTAATTCACCCTTTAACCCTGAAGATCAGCGCAGACTGCTGGTCACCATAGCAACACAGACAACAGTCTCTCCTAGCTAGTAGCTAACGAAACGGCAAAGAGAGAGATTTAAGACGAACATCGATAATTTGGAGATGAATGGACTTATTTGTGTTTAGTTGTGTTTACTTCAGCCTCATAAAAAAAACAAACGTTGAGAGACATTTTACAAGAAACTGTTCTACTTTTGAGGAAAAGTTTCCTGCTGGAGATGTGAGAAAAGCGGCTACAGCTGAGCTAAAGAATAAAGTAGAGCAAAGTAAGTCTGAGTTTTGGTTTATATTATATTTTAGCCTATACTAGGACATCATCACATACTGAGACATATTTATGGCCAAGATGGTAAATTGGATATAAAATGTTGTGGCTCCCAAGATGGTTTGATTTTTGTTAAAAGGATAAAGTGGCTCTTCTTAACAGCTTGCCGCCCCCTGATCATCTCTGTGCTGTTTTTAAATGATGAGCTTCTAGGAGTGAGCCATCATGCCCAGTTACTGTCTGGACTGGACTCCACAAAAGCTCCTGCTGCAAAGCGTGAGCTTCATTTCGCAGTGATGTTTTTTTTCAAGCTGCAATCTTTAAACACTTCCCGCTGGCGTTCATCGAATGCAGCACATCAACTTTCATTTGTTAAACGTTGCTGTTATTTGCTGACTTCAGACTCGGAGAGGAAAGAACACATTAAATGAAATTAATAATAATACTCTTTAATATCAATAAATGATTTTAAACCAAATTTCCTAAAATTTAGAGAACTCTCTATTCTCCCATTGCTGTGAAATGGAGAGTTTCCTGTCGGTAGACTGTGATGATGTAAGAGCGGAGGATGATAAATCTATTTAATATTCGCGTCTGCGTAACGACGGCTCACCAGGTTCATATAAGATGTGATATTACGTGGCCGGAGTGTGATTTATGATACCCATTAGTGACGTCACAGAATCTGAGATGATGTAATCTGTGTGGGGCTGCGAGAGCCTCCTCCACTGAACACCAGGAAACCAGAGCGTTTGGATTCAGCCAGGCTGATAAGACTGATATGTTTCGGTTCCTGATGAGCTTCAGAGCAGTTTTACAATCCTGACTCTGGAGGATCCGTCCAGTGTTTGCTTTAGTGCTGTTATTAACACAGTTATAACACATTTAATTCAAATCATGCAGTTTTAATGAGTTGAAGGATCACTTCACATCACAGATCACAGATTAGAGCGAGGACAATAAATGCCAATCATGTAAGCATAACCCGGCTGGACCTACTGGGCAGCATTAATGTGATCAGTGTTAGTTTTATGAGGGGGTTTAAAGGGCCTCTACCTCAGAAAAACACACTTTCCTCACTTTTTTTTAATATTATAGTGTGATATACTATGTAAAATTTAAAAACATACCACTCCTCCATTTCATACATCAAAACTAAACTGCAAAAATAGGCCGTTTTGACTTCACCGCTTCTGTGATGTCACAAAAGACTTATTCAGAGATAAAGCTATCCAGCCTACAGCAGTTTAGCTCTGCTCACTTACACTGATGTTACAAGTAGTGTTTCAGCCTGCACTGCTTTTTAAATGAGGCACGGCCAATCAGAATAGAGCTCATTTGCATATATCAGTCTTAAAGGCACAGTAACAAAAACAGCCTGTTTAATTCTAAACATTGAACATTATAAATGGATCTTCAGCAAAAAGGTAAAATACAAGAAATATGTAAGATATGGGCCGTTCAGGTAATAACACGATTCTGCTTGTAGATTTTTTAAGTACTGCAGAATTAATCTGTCACTTTTTTCTTTCAGAGCTGCTTTATCCAGTAGCTGTTATGTTTAGGCATTAATTTACAGGTTAATTTAACAAGTGAGGTTTTGTTTACCTGTATTTTTGGGGACCTATACCCCAGTAGATTCCATAACGTACAAGTACAACTATCAACTTACGAGGAACGTTTCTTATATTGAAGTCTGTTTTTTTATTTCTGCCTGCAATTTTGTTACACTGATTTTTGATAATGATGGCAAGTAGACGGTAAAATAATTTGGAATCAGGGCGGAATGTGAGTCTTGACTGCACATGCACATGCCAGTGTGATTGTAGATACTGGAATGTTTTATAAACCACTCATAACATTGTTATACACTTTATATATTCTTAGCATGAAGAGATTTTAATGACTTTCTGGCCTGGATTCAATATACACTGCTTCCAAATCCTGTATTTTGTCAAATGCGCTAATTAAAGTGATTTTATCTGTATTAGGAACTACCTTAAGCACAAAGTTATTATTATTAAACATGGTGTGGTTTTCTTGTCGTTCTTATTTACCATTTGAACTGAAAATGTTTTGCATAATCAGCTATAGACACACACAGATATAGCGGTTTTGGTTCTCGGCATCAAATAATAGACACGGTTTTATGCAAATGTTCAGGCCCCTCAGCCAAATGACAGATTTTTTTCATTTCTGAAGTGAAAAGTCTCTTATAGTAAACTATTAAAACTAGTTATTGTGGCATGTGCAAAAGTTTGGACACCTTTCTAGTTGTAAAGTGTCAGAACACAGAAATTGTTAGGCTTTAATTGATTCGTTAGGCCTTAACTGACTTGTTAGGACAGGTCAGGCAGGCCAAGAATTGCCATTAGGAACTGTATCTGTAACTGTAGCTGGATGAGGATCCGAAAATGAAGACAATTGATGCCTACAAAGCGCTTCAGGCTCACAGTTTCCACTGTCCAAATTGTTGTTAAGAAACAGCAGTTCTAGTGATTTTGCAACATTTCTGTGTAATTCAGTGTTTGAGATGTAATCAGAGTGATTGTGTGATTTGGTGTGAAACGGTTCAGATGTCTTTACAGTGGTGCTGATAGGAACCAGGGGTCGCCATGACTACAACACAAATATAGACATTTTATTTACTATCCAGAACCACCAGTGAACCTACACGAGTCTTCTGAGTTTATATGGAATGTTGATGATGGAAAATAGTGGAAAATCTGAAATAATAAGTTTTCTTTGGGGACTATTTTGCCTCACAGCGCCCTGCATGTATCCCTCCACCATGAATGGAGTTTAAGTTCTCTAAACTATCATGAAACAGTGTCTCAGTCATCAGGCAGTGAATTCATAATCCTTTCTGTGAGGGAGCTTTTAGAGGTGGACGTCTGGTTCCTATCACCACCATTGTGAACGGTATGTTCAACGTTACGCTGCTGGGTGGTTCTGGTTTCCGTTGAAAGGCTTGCAATCATTATTACACACTATTATTACATATCTTTACTATTACACACTAAATTCATACTAATATCAGAGCATCAGTGTTATTGGAAGGCCTAAAGTCATTGGTGGGCTGTCAGTTTGAGTCTCTGCTCAGAGGACAGTGGGACAGTGCAGGGCTGAAGGGGGGGCTTCTTAATATTTACCTAGTTCTCAAACTGGATGGAACAGATCTCAGATGCTCAGACGTTTGCAGAAATACATGCAAGCATGACTCAACAAATAAAGTTCGGACGGTCATCTCTGAATATGACTAAAACAGCTCAGACTGTTACATCAAACACACTTTAAAAAAGATGGTTCTTCAAGGGTTCTTTAGTAAAGAAAATGGCTCTGCATAGAACCATGAACACTCACAGAACCCTATGCATGATTAAATGGTTCTTCAGATTGATGGAGAATGTGCTGTAGATGGTTCTACACAGTGGGTTCTTTTATTGTTACAGGATTGACATCATCATTATAAAAGAACCCTTTTTTGGTAATGCATAGAACCATTTTCTGAAAGGTTCTATATAGAACCATCTACAGCACATTCTACATCAATCTGAAGAACCCTTTCACCATGATGTGCTTAGGTGACTAACACATATGACTGTAGTCCATCTGTTTCTCTGCATACTTGGTTACCCTGTTCTTCAGTGGTCAGGACCCCCATGGACCCTCACAGAGCAGGTACTATTTGGGTGGTGGATCATTCTCAGCACTGCAGTAACACTGACGTGGTGGTGGTGTGTTAGTGTGTGTTGTGCTGGTCTGAGTGGATCAGACACAGCAGTGCTGCTGGAGCTTTTAAACACTGTGTCCACTCACTGTCCACTCTATTAGACACTCCTACCTTGTCGGTCCACCTTGTAGATGTAAAGTCAGAGATGATAGCTCATCTGCTGCTGCACAGTTTGTGTTGGTCATCCTCTAGTCCTTCATCAGTGGTCACAGGTTGCTGCCCACAGGACGCTGTTGGCTGGATATTTTTGGTTCTCAGTCCAGCAGCAACACTGAGGTGTTTAAAAACTCCAGCAGCACTGCTGTGTCTGATCCACTCAGACCAACACAACTGGTATGTAAATGTTTTATGTGTATATCTGTACCTACATCTATTTATCTATATATTCACTTTGTATATAAATTGCAGCATATGGGCTCTTTAAAGCTACAGAATAAAGCATTTCAGAAATCGCTGTATTTTGCACACAGTAGCTCTCGTGGAGAGCAGACCTGCACAAGGCAAGAGACTTTTAACCAAACTTGAAACTTTAAAGAGGAATTTCACAGATTGTTCAACATCTTAGGATGATGAAATGCTTAAAGGGGAACTCCATCGATTTTTTGAAATTCCTGCATGATTAAGTGGTTAAGATGTAAACAGAGTCATTCAGAGTGTTTTAGTGTGAAACGCTCCGTTCTAGATAAACTTACGAGTCAGAACTGTTCACAGTGGTGGTGATAGGAACCAGACATCCACCTCTAAAAGCTCCCTCACAGAAAGTTACTACATGAAATGGTTATGAATTCACTGCCTGATGACTGAGACACTGTTTTATAGTAGTTTTGTGATAGCATTTTAATCTATTGATTTTAATATATTCATGGTGGAGGGATACATGAAGGGTGTTCTAAGGCAAACTTATTATTTCAGATTTTCCAGCATTTTCCATCATCAGCATTCCATATAAAACTCTTGTAGGTTCACTGGTGGTTCTGGATAGTAAATAAAATGTCTATATTTGTGTTGTAGTCATGGTGACCCCTGGTTCCTATCACCACCACTGTAAAGACATCTGAACCATTTCACACCAAACCAAACTGAAACAGAAATTTCGGTGGAACTGCCCTTTGTGCGCCACAAGTCCATTTGCGCTTGAACAAACACGTGTGGGCGGGGCTTCAGCGAGGATGTGGTCGAAACGCCCAGCTCCGCCCTGCGCGCGCAGAGAGAGTGTGTGTGTGTGTATATGTGTGGTGTGTGTGTCTGTGTGTGTGTGGGCGGGGCCGAGCGCAGACGGTGTTTGTGGAGAGCGAAGCGGCGCTCAGCACAGAGCTTCAGGCGCGCGGACTGCGAGGAAGCTCCCCTCGGAGCGCACGAGCTAACAAAAGAGTGAAAACACCGCGCGGACCTTCTTTAACCGGACTTTGTTTTTTGTTGTCTCTCCCTTTGTTTTTGTTCTGCGCGCTCGGGGCGGCTCGGCTCCTCCTCCACTCTCGGACCTGCTCGCCTTCTGCCCGGGAGAAAGGCTCTTTTCAGTTCTGACTCGTTTCGTCCTCCGGAGGATCGTCTACATCGTCGGCTTCTTCATTCTCTTTTGCTGGACTTCTGATTCTTTAGGACGGATTTTCAAAGCGTTTTCAACGTGTTTAGTCTTTAACCGCGCGCCTCAAAGGCGCAGGATTGACCATGTCCAGGTAAGTGCGCGAGACTCGAAACCGGCCGCAACTTTCAGGGACTTTTACTGAAGAACCAAAAACCTTGGAAACTTTTATTTTTTTTCTCCTTTATCCTCCATTAATTTGGGCAGCGCGAGCGTGCGCCGCCTTAGTTTGCTTTAAAAAGTCTGCGCGTGCTTTTTCGCGCTTTTTAACATTTGCAGCGCGTTAATTATTTTATTAATTAATTTTAATTAGTTTATTAGTTTATTAGTTTTGGCACCTGAAAACAAATTCGTGCGCTTTAGCCTAATGAAAACAAACAGAAACTATCTCTGCTCTTTCCGCCCCTCACCGGCCCTCGCGCTGCGTACTAAACCCACGCCTCGCGCTACTAAACGGACCTGAAACACCTGAGCACCTGAGCACCTGTCCGGCTCGTGCGGCTCAGTGCTGGCTCGGCAGCTCAGCCCGGAGCTCAGAGTAACTCCTGCAGTCTGTCTCGAGCGCCGCTCGTTTCGTTTAATGCGCGAGTGAAACAGCAGCTGTAAGGTACAGTAACTAAAACACGCGCCTTTGTTTTGGACCGAATGCACGCGACGCGGTGCGGTGCTATTTTTTTCCGCCTGTGTGTGTGTAGAGCCGCTAGGGGGCGCGTCACACTCTCTTTATTTAGCGCACTCGTTTTGTTTTTGGCTTCTCGGCTCTCACACACATAAACACTAACCCGGTCCTGGCTGGAGCCCACACTCTAAAACAGCTGGTTCTGAAGGGTTCTTTAGCAAAGACAGTGGTTCTGTTTGGAACCATGAGTTCCGCTTGAACGCTGAAATGGTTCTCCGCATGGTGAAGCGGCTTTTTGATGGAGAATGTGTTGTACATGGTTCTGTATAGCGCTTTTGTTGGAAATGGTTCTGTGTGGCACCAAAAGGGTTCTGCTACTGATGCGATGTCAAGCTTAGAACGCATTTTTGGTGCTATATAGAACCATTCTCAAAATGGGTTGTGTATGGAACCATATATAACACATTCTCCATCAAAGAACCATTTAAGCATGCAGACTCTTTTATACAGAACATATGGTTCTATATAGAACCAAAAAGCGTTCTGCTATTGTCACCCTTTTTGGCGCCACGCAGAACCACATGCAGCACATTCTCCGTGCATTGCTCTAAACAGAGCCGTTCCATTTGCTGAAGAACCCGTGAAGAACCGTCTGTTTTTAAAGTGTGTACGCTTTTGTAAAAGCCGCGAGCGTGCTGCTGCTGGGCGTCTCGCGCTCCTCTCGGCGCTCGACAGCGTGTGTTTTCTTCGGCGCGCGCTAATGAATCGCTCGCGAGGCGCTTTGTCACGCTGAGGTTGAAAGGGAAAGAAAAGGAAAGAAAGAAAAGGGATGAAAACAAAAGCAGAGCCGGGTTATTTGTAGGGTTTAGTGGGAGATGACGCGGCTCTTTCAGGGATTCTCATCGAAGGAGAGAGAGAAAGAGAGAGAGAGAGAGAGAGAGAGAGAGAAATAAAAATAAAAAATAGGAAGTTGGGCTCGAGCTGTGACGCACTTCAGCCGGCGGCGCCGCTTCAAAGCACCGCGAGTCTCGAGGCCGGCGGTGTAAACACGGCGGAGCAGACGAGCCTCAAAGTTTGGCTTCCTATTCGCCAACTTCGTCTTCGAACTTTCCCGTTCCACCTTAAATAGTGCAGCAGTTACATTAGTGCAGCCCGAGGCGCTAGAATGGAACTGATGCACCATTTAAGGTGGAACGCAAAATTCGAACTCGAAGCCGGCGAATATTTACTGGAGAACTTTTTTTTCACCACTCGACGCCCTGGAACTCTCGCGCACGCACGCGCCGTGCCTCGCGCTGGCTCCAGTGCGCGTGAACCCTCCCCACCCCTGCCCGCACCGCCCCCCCCAGCCCGTCCCGTCCGTCTCTGAGTTTCAACGTCAAATTAAACTGCAGCAGCCTCTACACTCCTAACAACGACTGGTTCTTTAGGGTTCCTTAGAAAAGGCAGTGGTTCTGTGTAGAACCATGATTTCTAAACCATTTGCATGGTGAAATAGTTCTTTAGATCGATGTATATGATTCTACATAGAACCAAAAAGGCTAACAATAGCAGAACCCTTTTTGGTTCTGTATAGAACCATATGTTCTATTTAGAACTATTTGCATGTGTGGTTCTTTGCATGGTGAAATGGTTCTTTGTTGCATGCAATTCTATATAGACCCATTTTGAGGATGGTTCTATATACCACCGAAAAGGGTTCCCTTGGGAACCATATACAACACATCCTCCATCAAAGAACCATTTAAGCACGCACATGGTTCTGCATAAAACCATATGTTCTATACAGAGCCATTTGCATGCTTAAATGGTTATATGCATGGTGGAATGGTTCTTTGATGGAGAATTTGTTGTATATGGTTCCATATGCAACCTTTTTGAGAATGGTTCTGTATAGCTCCAAAAAGCGTTCTTCTGTTGTATACAAGCTTGACATCGTGCCAATAGAAGAACCCTTTTTGGTGCTATGTAGACTTATACACAACACATTTTCCATCAAAGAACCACTTAAGCACACAAATGATTCTATATAGAACCTTTAAGAAAATGGTTCTGTATAGCATCAAAAAGGTTCCAAGCTTGCCATCATAATAATAGCAGAACCCTTTTTGGTACTATATAGAACCATATACAACACATCTACATCAATCTGAAGAAGCATTTCACCATGCAAAGAAGCATGCAAATGGTTCTGTACAGATCTCATGGTTCTAAATAGAACCATCGCCTTTGCTAAAGAACCCCTGAGGAACCATCTCTTTAAGAGTGTAGCTCTTCTTGCCCAATTCACATGCAGAACAGTAATTACTGCTGTTTTGTTTGTCCCGCAGGCGGTCAAACCGGGCCGGCCGCCCAGCCTTCTTAAAGGAGCAGGGGGAGAGCGGTCAGAGCGGCGGAGCAGCCTCCTCCCGGGCCGCCGAGCAGTGCGAGCAGCCTGAGCCCGGCGAGGGGGACCCGTTTAGGGGAGGGATTGCGATGCCTAATAGCCTTCTGGGTTACCAGTCGCGCTCGCCGCTCTTCCGAACCCTCTCCAGGTCCTCCAGCGGATATTTCTCGTTCGACAGCGAGCCCAGCTCTCCGCTCGTGACGCACAGCGCGTCCACACAGACCCCCAGCCCGTCTAGTCAAGTGATCACTCACGCCCTGCAGCGCATTGCCGAGGCGCGAGGGGACGCTCAGAGTTTCGGTAAGAGTGCTGCTGCCCTAACCCTTCAAACTGTTTCTCACGTTTGCGTGCGATGCAGCGTTGTGGCACACGCGAAGAGGCGCACGCATCCCTTCTGTTCACTGGTCTAACCGAGGCTGTTCAGTTTGGAGAACGTTTCAGACCATCTACCAAAATCAGCTTCAGTTCGAAGAATCTGAAACAGCCAAAACATTTACTTAGCTTACAGAAATTAAAGGGAAATTCCACCAAAATTTCTGTAACTATAACTCAGCTTTTAGAGGTGGACGTCTGGTTCCTATCACCACCACTGTGAACAATTCTGACTCGGTAAGTTTATCTAGAATGGAGCGTTTCACACCAAACCACTCTGAACCGCTCTGAACCGCTCCGTTTACATCCATCTTAACCATTTAATTATTTGGAATTTTTGAAAAATTGTTGGAGTTCCCCTTTGAGGTTAGCATCATTTAGCTACAGCTAGACGTTCGCGTTATAGGGTGACAATATAATATCGCGATACTAAGCAAGCAGTGTTCACGCAGTGACCATATCCTAGAAAAGCATGTAACGGTTCTTATCACAATAACGATAAACATCATTATTGCCCCCCAGCCAGAGTCATACAAAAGTCAATGGAAATAGCCCACGAAGGCAGGAATACAAACCTGTAGTGTGTTCAAGCCCTTATGTAATGTGAATGCAGGTCTTTCAAACCTGTTTAAGGTGTTTTGTTGATGTCAGTCAAAAGCTTTTTGGGCTTTGTAGCAACAAACTGTATAGAGGAAAATATACAACAGCTCATGTTTACTCCAGCGTACAGAGGCTTGTGTGCCCTGAGTGCCCTAAGCTTTGGGGATGCACTGATACGGCAGTTGTGGGCTGATATTTTTCATGTACGCATCTGCCGATCCTTATACATTAAAGGGGAATCCCACCGCTTTTTAAATTTTTTGTAGAATTTTGCAATCTAAATATCAGTCCAATATGTTTAAGTCATTATTTACAGATGCCGATATGATTCCGATATCGCCATGCATCCCATGTTTACGACTAAGTAGAGCTGGGCGATTTGACAGTGTTTATCGTTTTCGTGTTAAATTATGTCACTATATGCATTTCTGAGTGAATCGTGGTATCGTCAGTACTTAAAACTGCTTCCCAACTGCATGTTTGATTACAAAGAAGAGTCTCACGTGTCCTAATTTATTTTTAAAGCCAATATCTGCCGATGGGAATATGATTCCAATGTCATCGTGCAAGTAGAGCTGGGCGATATGACAATATTCATCATTATCACGATAAATTATGCCACAATATGCTTTTCTGAGACTTTCGTGGATATCGTCGGTCCTCAACAACTGCACGTTTGTTTACAAAGAGAGCTTCACGAGTCCTCTTTTCTTGGATTTAGCGCAGCACAGCATGTGAAATGTTGAATATTAATCACTAAATTCATAGTTTTTATTACTTTGTTTTTCCAAATTCTCTGATATCAGAAAAAATAAATGTCATGACTAAGCATTTATCGTGAAAACCTCTTAGTATCGTGATATTACATTTCTTCTGTATCACCCACCCCCACAATTAAGCATGTGCGTGCATCTGATGAGGCAGGAGGTCTGTTTAGCTGTTCGCAAACCCGTCGTAAACGTCCTTTTTGCAGCCCTCATGTTTAAACCGTACAGCGAGCCACTGTCTCCTCACAATGCCGAGTGATGGAGTGAGCTGATTTGCTTGTTGTCTCTTTATTATTACTGTTGCGGAGGCTTGAGCCGGGCAAGAGAGGCAGAAGCCCAGTCAAAATAGAGCGCCGTGTCTTTTGTTGTAGGCTAGACACGAGATCTCGCCGTTCCTCTCCCCCCCATTGAGAGCCAGGAGATGGGAGAGGGTGATAAACTGTCTTCCTGTAGCGCCTTGCTAGCGCCCTGTCTCCAAGAGGCCACTCTTAATGGAGAACTGACTTATCAGGGCTCTCATCTGGCAGAGTTCGCCCGCCAGAAACTGCTTGTTTGGATGTCTTGTTTGGCTTCTTTGTGCTCGGATCGGCACAGACCGGATTGCGAGATGCTCGGACAGGTTCAGCGCGATCTGTTGACACTCCTCGACTCCGTCGCACGTTTGAGTCATATGCAAAGGCTCGAATTACATTGTTCTGGTCATTTTCTAAGTGAAAATAAGTTAACACATCCTCTATAGGGAACACACTTGAAGGAAAATTCCAACCATTTTTCAAAGTTTGTGTATAATTCAATAGTTCAGATGTGAACAGAGTCAGTCGGAGTGGTTTGGTGTGAAATGAGAAACCAGCTGAAGTACTGAGGCCTTATGTCCCAGTCCCAGCGTTTATGAGGGGATTTTAAATGGATTTTGCAATTTTTGAAGTCAAGGGCAAAGAGGGGTTGTAAGACAAAGTAGTGTTGTAGACCCCTGATTCTTGTCACCACCACTGTAAAGTTCCCTACAATGCACCACTTCACGTCACACCACTCTGACTGACCTTGTTTACATCTCAGGGACTGAATTATACAGGAAGTTTTCAAATCTGGCGTTATTTCTGCAAGTTTCATTGATTTATTTGATGAATTTAACATAATGGAAAGCACAATATTTAAAATCGAATCTTTTGCCCAGGCCACGCTATGTTTTATTTTTACTTTTTCCAATAAGCTAAACTCAGCGAATGAACATTAACACTGGCTAACATGCGCAGTTCTCTGTAGAGCCTGTTCTCTTCAAAATCAATAAAAAGTTTGACCAGAATGTTTGCATGCGACTCTATTTTTGAATCGGCGCAGCTGGCAATTGTGTTTGAGTCTAGGCTTAAAACATAGGGAGTGGGTAAGCAGCGGCACGGGTGATTTGTTTGACGTAGACAAAGAAGCAGCCGGTAGCATGTTATCGTGTAGGCGCTTGACTAAATTCATCCGTCTGCAGGAGCAGCCATTCAGCTCTCATGCAAACAAATGAGCATGTTATCGCCTGACAATATTGCTGCGTGTGATGTTGGCCTGTGGCGAGCCGGTAATAGCAGAGAAAGTAATTGAGTAATATCTTGAGTGTGATTTATGATATTTTATAGTGAAAGTCTCAATGAGTCGGGCGTAGCTGTGTGTGGAAATGAGTAGCATATGGTCCTAATATGATTGGGCATGAGAAATAACAGTAAAACTAGTTCTCACTTGAGTCATAGCTGGAGAATCAGTGCAAGTTCAGCCAGATTGTGGTTGTATTATTAGCGCTTAGCCTCAGCGCACTCTCTGCAGTGGCGCTCAGACCTGCTGCATGCCTCAGAGTGGCGTTTGCACCACTGTGCAATTGATCTTTATGTCACAATCATCAATGCTGGTCAAATCCAAGAAATCCAAAGTTTATCAAGGCTATAGGAAAGTTTATTATTATTTTTGCCCATTCAAATGTCTTCAGCTAGTGCAGTCTGAATGATTGGCTATCATCAACCAGAAATAACACAGCAGGCATGCTAATAGACTGCGAATGTTATTTAAAGGGGAATTCCACCAGTTTGTTAAAATTAGTGCAAAAATTAAATGGTTAACCATAATTGGTTTGGTGTGAAACACTCCATTCTAGAGGAACTTTCTGAGTCAGAATTGTTCACAGTGGTGGTAATAGGAACCAGACATCCACCTCTAAAAGCTCCCTCACAGAAAGTTACTCCTTATAATGGTTATGAATTCACTGCCTGATGTCTGAGACACTGTTTTCTGATCATTTTCAGAAGAGTTTGGCCTAAAACATAACTTTTGAAATCCATTCATGGTGGAGGGATACATGCAGGGCGCTGTGAGGCAAAATAGTCCCCAAAGAAAACTTATTATTTCAGATTTTCCACTATTTTCCATCATCAACATTCCATATAAACTCAGAAGACTCGTGTAGGTTCACTGGTGGTTCTGGAGAGTAAATAAAATGTCTATATTTGTGTTGTAGTCATGGCGACCCCTGGTTCCTATCACCACCACTGTAAAGACATAAAGACATCTGAGTGTCTACAAAACCATTTCACCGTTTCACACCAAACTCCTCTGTTTACATCTCCACCACTGCTTTACGCAGAATTATTTCTCCTGCATCTGACCGCAGCGTTGTCTTCGTGAGGATATTAAGACTGAATCGCAAGTTTCCATGAAACTAAGCGCTAAGATACAGATCAAAAGAACAGGTCCTTTGATGATGACGCTTTTCTGAAACATGAGCTGCTACTGCGAAAAGTTACGACCCCTGATCACATTTACACCTTAAGACGTGGTCTTGTTTAGTGGAGAACTGAACTGACTTGAACCGCCGAAAACTGAAAAAAGCTGAAAATAAATAAAAGCAATTAACATAAAAACTTATTACAGTATTATTACAGTATGTAGGCTACAGTATGAGAACGGTTGGTCGTCCAAGTCCATGAATTCAATTATTTCATTATTATATTTTACTTATTGTTGTCACTTGGAGTTAGAACGCTAGTGGGGACTTTCTGCTTGCGTCATGTCTGCTTTATGTTGTGTTTTGATGTGGAGTGAAACCTATAGTGAAGAAGCTCTTGGCCGTTGTTCTCGGGCTGGGTGCTGGAAAACTTCACGAGAAGATATGATACAGTACGATGAAAAACAGACACTTGTGCGACAGACATTTTTGGTCAATGTTCACCTTAAAATTAGTTTAGGAAACTACAGTAACAATGAATGAATAGATAAATAAATACGGCCGGGGAGAATGATGAGGCCAAAACCCAAGATGTTGTAAAAAATACCATAATAATGAATAAATAATGCTGAACGGAGCTTAAAAGAACTCTGTTAAAGCTGTGGTTCACTCTATCAATGAGCAACAAACATACAGCACATTAACATCATCCGTTCAGGTTTTAACATCGCCGCAAACACAGAGCAGCTCCACAAACGTGGCCAAAATGCTGACGGTTGATGCTGATAAACCAATAACCCACTACAACCACCAACAAGTGCATCTTCGAAAGTGAAACTAACTAAGGCTGCGTTCACATTACCAGGCTGAAGTGGCACAAATCTGATTTTTTGCCCTAATGTGACTCAGATCTGATGTTTTCAGGGCTGTGTGGACACACAAATCCAACCTGAGTCACTTTTATATGTGGTCCTAGATCAGATACGTATCTGATTCGTGGCCATGTGACCTTAATGTGATGCTCAGATCAGAATCCATGTGCTTTTTCCCCACTGTGCATGCGCCATCATTCAGCGTTACCATGGCAGCAGCGCCGAACTGAAGTTAAAGCCTGTAAACGGTGGAAAAGCAGCTCATCTCACCTTTTTCACCTTCGTCTCTACGTTTCTACTAATGGTTACGCTCAACCAATCAGATTGTGCCGTTGGAGTGAACCGTTGTATGAAGATGAATGCAACCATGGTTGTGTTTGAAATAGCACACAGTGTACTGAATACCTTGTAACCATAAGTTCTATATAGAACCGTTTCATGCTTAAATGGTTCTTTGCATGGTGAAATGGTTCTATATGCACACAAAAATGATGGTCCTTTAGTAAAGACAGTTGTTCTACATAGAACCCTGATCACTTAAAGAACCATTTGCATGCTTAACGGTTTCTTTAGACGGTAAAGTCGTTCTTCAGATTGATGGAGAATGCGTTGTATGTGGTTCTATATATAGCACCAAAAAGGGTTCTGCTAATGTTACAAGTTTGACATCGTAACAACAGAAGAACCCTTTTTGGTGCTGTGTAGAACCATATACAACACATTCACCATCAATCTGAGAATCATTTCACCATGCAGAGAATCATTTAAGCATGCAAAGGGTTCTATGAGTGTTCATGGTTCTTCTAAAGGACGCTTGAAGAACCATCATTTTAAGAGTGGGATACTAGCTGTGGTTCTGAGTGTTGATGCTCTTAACTGATCTGTCCTTCTCTGTCTGTGTGCTCCACAGAATTATGGCCCCCCTATAACCACCATCCGCCCCACGGAGCAGCGCCTGCGGGGGACATGCGACCGGAGTCGTACGTGGCGCAAGAGCTGCGGCGCATCGGCGATGAGTTCAACGAGCTTTATTTTCAGGGGGTGAGTCGGCTGCATGAGTGTGTTGCTGATATGCGAGCGTTGAGTGCTTGAGATCTGCATGATCAAACGTTTGATGTGACACCGGTAGCGGTGGGCGGCTTGGTCCGCGCTGCCTTATCTGTCGGAGCTCGTTGTCAGGAGCTGGAGGGTGTGAACGTGAAGGGACTTTCATGTGTCGCTGCAGGTGAGGGCTGCAGCTCCGGGACTGTTTACCTGCGTTCGTTCAGACGGATTTATGCATTTTCTGAACGTTGCATCACTTCATTTACAGTCGGAAATCAAGGTCCCCTCCGGAGGGACCGGCTCTGATGGGGCGCGCTGTACGCCCCTGCCCTCGCCTCCTTTCCTTCCTTTTTCATAGATTTATTCGAGCTTTCTTTGTTTTTATTTACTGATTTGTCACACGGTGCTTCAAAGGAGCTCATCACACATGTATTATGCCTTTATTATACATCACAGAGCATAAAACGCTCAAGATTATGTTCATCATGAGCTCCTACTTTATACCAAAGCTATGCAGTCTGAAATTAATCTTCAACTACACTCTTAAAAACATGGTTCTTCAAGGGTTCTTTAGTAAAGACAATAGTTCTATATAGAACCATGAACACTCAGAAAACCCTTTGCATGATTAAAGAGTTCTTTGCATTGTAAAAGCGTTCTTCAGATTGATGGAGATTGGAGTGGAGTGAATGTGCTCTAGATGGGTTCTTCTATTGCTACAAGCTTGACATCGTACCTATAGCAAACCTTTTTGGTGCCATATAGAACCCTTTTCAAAAAAAGTTCTATATAGAACCATCTACATCACATTCTTCATCAGTCTGAAGAACGCTTTTATGATGCAAAGAATCTTTAATCATGCAAAGGGTTCTAGAAGCTGGTGAATGAGAAGCTGAATTCAGCCTTGTGACTTTTTAGTGTTTGACAGTGTTTCAGGGTTAAAGGGTAAATTAGCAGTTCTACATTAACTCCAGAGTTGAAGACCATTTACTGTTAAACTGTGTTGAACGATCAGCAGAGCTTTATTTTACTGTAAAGGAGGATTATTTTATTTTTACCTACAAATCTGATTCTGCTGTGGAGCCTCGACAGGGCAGGAAAAGAGCCGCATGCTGCCGACCCCTGGTCTAAAGCGTCACACTTGACTAAGTGAACCCGTATGTTGTCGGCGTATGAGTTTGTATCAGATAGTAATACACTGTGAGCCTTCAGCTTTAGTTCCAGCTGCCTTTCAGTGTAAACATGCTGTTTGATTCTTGGCCAAAATGCGAGTCCTTTATGCAAATGGATTCTTATCTCACAGGGGCGAATCTCGCTCTCGTTCATCACTGTTTAATTTGTTTAGCTCTCTGAAATAGATTAGTTATTGTTTCAGGATACAGTATCTTAAATAAATCAACTCTTTGGCAAAGCATCCTCCATTGTTTTTGGTGACAGCTCTATTAAATGATTATTTACAGCTCTGCCACATTTACAGCTCTGTCACATTTACAGCTCTGCCACATTTACAGAACAGTTTAAATTTTTTGAGAAATTTTACAGCTTCCATTCTTTTCAGGAGACTCACTTTCAGTTCCTCAAAGAATCTGCAGACACACCTCCAAAGTTCAGTCTTAGAAGCTGGTTGATGATTTTCTGAAGTAATCAAACACATTCAGTGGTGTTGAGGTCTGGACTCTGGGGTGGTCAGTCCATCGTTCAGCTTCTTTGTTTGATGTGTCCGTCTCCTTTTCTCAGTGAGGTTCTTCTTGACAGCTACACATCCTTTCAGACCCACAGCGCTGAGTCGTCTTCTCACAGTGGAAGGATGGACAGAAACACCTGTGGATGTTTTCAGATCTGAAGCAGTTTGATTTTCTCCTCTCTCTCAGAGATGAAAGCTTTAAGTGCTGTTTATCTGATGGGGGCAGTTTTGTGGTCGACCAGCTCTTCCAGGTGGTTGTTAGGAGCCTCATATTATCTGGAGCTTTTAATGTTGTGCTTAATGGCTGTTTTGAGAGAGAATTAAATAAGTGAAAGGTGGTCTTCTTGCCTGTTCAATCCAGGGGCGTTTTTTTTTTGCAAGCTTTAGACTAATCAACATTCCAGTCGTTTTATGTGGGTTTCCAATAAATGTGTGATAAATTTGAGCTGAACTAACGTCATATTTTACGCTTTAAACTTTGGTTTGAATGCATATAGATGCATATAGGATAAATATTACACAAACTACAGCTAATGTGGCGGGTAAACTAGTGGGCTCTGTACACATGTAACTCACTAACTTACTCCTAATACGGGGTCTTTATGTGAACACTTACATTACATGAGCAGGAATTAAACCCTACCTTAAGCAGGTGTAAACTGAGCATAATATGAAGCTTTAGGCTAAAACAAACTGTAGTTTTTGAACGTATCCCTGCTGAACACTGTATCCCATAGAAACCATTAAGTCTTTCTTTTGGTTTCTGATGGTTTTGTAGTGTGTTTTAGTTTATGGTTTAACCGGTTACCAATGGCTGGTCTGTATATTGTCAGCGGCCTCCCTTCCTGAACGGTAATGTGTGTGGCATTCTCTGTTTACATCAGAGACGTTAGAAATGAGTTACATGGCACAATCACACTGTCCTACTGCGCATGTGTTCCACTGGCCTGAAACCACTGTAGCTCTGCAGTCAGACTTCTCTCAATGTATCCGGTTCTGCTTTGATTCACTTTTTAGCCACGTTAGCAGTTTAATGCATTCATTTAAGGAGCTCACTTTATTTCACGTATTGCACATCTCGATGTGCGAGAAGCACCAAATGTGCTGAAAAACAGCGCTCAGTCCTCGGCCCAGCGAGGGGACCATAACGTCCATCAAGGTTGTTTGGTTTTTAGTTGTGTTTCATGCAGAATTAGCTCAGTTGTGGCTGAGTGGATTTTCCCCACAGCAGAACGCTGAGTTCCACCTTCTGTGTTCCGTGTTTGGTGCTGGTGTTTGGCTCTGCTCGGCGTGGCTGTGGTCTGGCTGGATGATGACTCTTGAGTCACAAATGTAAATAACGACCACAAATCTCTGACCAAAAGAGCAGATTTATGTCCAAGCTGCTAGAACATATTACACATTTCTCTTTCTGCTGTCACTTAATCATATAAACGCTGTGCAGAGTGAATCATTGTCTGCTTGGTTTGGCCAAACATGTATTACACACATACACACGGTCACAAAACAGCGTCCATCGCTCTTTTGTTCTCACAAGTTGCTTTAAAGACTCTTCAAAACAGGCTGTTTGGTCCCACTTTATATTAGGCGTTTGTTATAACAGTGCAGTTACACATTAACAACATTGTAACTACTGGTGATGTATACACTGTTACAGATGGATAACAGTAGCATAGTTTATGTAAATGCATGCATGTATCAACAGTATTTACTCATGTAATTACACAAGTGTATGTTCATAGCTGTAACAGCATATTTTCTCTTATGTAATTACACATTTGTAATAAAGCAAAGGTAAGTAAATTTGTATAAACAGCTATTTTTCAGATTTTTCATGATTTTTCTAATTACGTACACTCTTAAAAAGACTGAATACGGTTCTACATAGAACCTTTTTGAAAATGGTTCTATATAGCACCAAAAAGGGTTCTGCTCTTGTGACAAGCTTAACGTCTTTACAGTACACATTTAAAAAAGAGGGTTCTTCAAGCGTTCTTTAGTAAAGAAAATGGTTCTATATAACACCAAAAAGGGTTCTTCTATTGTTATAATGCCAAGCTTGTAACAATAGCAGAATTCTTTTTCGTCCTCTATGGAACCATTTTCAAAAAGGTTCTATATAGAACCTTCTACAATGCATTCTCCACCAATCTGAAGAACCATTTCAAGATGCAATAGTTGTGACATGAGAACCAGAAAGTTCTGGCTTTAGACTATTAATGCTATTAGAAGTTTAGTTGAAAAAACAGCAGTTTATACAAATGTAATAAACCTCACCTTATTACAAATGTGTTATTAAATAAGCAAAAAGATGCTGTTACAACTGTCACAGTACATTTGTGTAATTACATGGGTAAAAAGCTGAAGTTGATAAACATGCTTTTACATAAGCTGTACTGCTGTAATCCATCTGTAATAGTGAATACATCACCAGTAATTACATTGTTGTTGCACGTATTGTTAATGAGTAACTACACAGTTATTAATATGAAGTGGAACCGACTTTTTTAAGGTTCTTAAACTTGCAAATCTTTCTCATTCTATAAAGTTAGAATCAGGGATGCGCAGACCATTATGAGAATTGTTGATATCCCATATTTTTCATGTATATGTGCCAATAGTGATACATAAACATTTCATTAAACAACTACATCTAACAGGATTAGCATTATAATGTAACATTCAATTGTGCAGTAAATTATTGTGAATGAAATGCAGTAACCCAGCGTCACCTGTACATTATGCTAATATGCAAATAAGCAAATATGAACATGCTCACAAAGAGACTTTGGCATTAAATTACAATGAGGATTAATGCATTAAGCTTTGCCTTTAATCAAAACTCAGATATTAAAAACATGCATTTTGACATTATAGTAAGAAAGCACTGGCCAGCTGTTTGGGTGAATTAAATTATTAATGTTTTTGAATGTGAGGAATTATTCAGATAGAGAAATGGTCTTTGAACAAACCCTATCATGTATATGAAGTACGAATGACTTTCTTATGTTTTCCCATAAATGTTCTAGATGTACTATTTTACATCAGTTTTTTGGATGCTGTCTATTTATGCATATCGCAGTTGTCGGAAGGAAACCTCGTATCTCCAAAAATGGTAACTTTACAGGAGAAGGAAAAACCATGCTTTACTTCTAGTGTAAGTCAATGGAACCAGACATTTTTCCAAGTAATTTCAGGTTGTTTCTTTTGGTCCATTCATCATGTAATGTACCTACAATGTAAAGAATAACAGGCTTTTTCAAATTATGTCAAAAACTGAAAAACAAAACTGGAGATACGAGGTTTTCCTCCG